CTCTCAGCTGGACAGAGTAAGAACAAGACTGGAAGATGCGATTAGGGATCAAACGATGGATATTGCAGTACTTTGGCATGTCTTCGGTGGTCCTGTCCCTAATGCAAGAATTCAAGAGGCTTTTGCGAGGTTTAGGTTTTTGCAATCGGAGCAGAACAGAGTCTTGGAAATAATGAAATACCTTATAATAACTTATATGTTGTCTGGTTTAATGTCAATGTATTGGTTCATTTGAAAGTTGGTTATTGAGTTTGTAAACTGGATTATGAACCGGAGATAGTTACTTTATAATGTAACTTGTAACAGAAGAAATCAATAACAGAAAACACTTTTATCATTTTGAGCTCGTCTTCTCAGACGTTTCTTTTCTTCTTTTCATTTCATTGACCCAAATCGATCGGTGGTTCTCACGATCGATATGTGGTTCTCACGCGATCGGTGGTTCTCACTATCGATTCTCTGCGTAGATCTGATCGTATAGTACTCAGATTTTTACAATTCGGTGATCAAAAATGGTGATCGGAAGAAAGGTTGGTCATCTTCTTGGTCGTGCAACAGCTTCAGCACGCAGATCTACCGTTCGTGAAACTCCATCGCCAGATCCACCTACTCCTCCTCCTGTTTTACCTCCGGAATCGGTAATCAACATCCACTCTCTATTTCACTTAACAAACGGAGATAATCCTGGTGTTGCGATCATCTCTGAGGTACCCGATGGCTCTAACTATGATAACTGGAAGATCGCTATGAAGATTTCCTTAGATGCTAAGAATAAAACGATGTTCATTGATGGATCACTGGTTAGGCCACTTGAATCTGATCCAACTTTTCGACTATGGTCTCGTTGTAACTCTATGGTCAAATCGTGGATTCTCAACTCTGTTTCTAAGCAGATCTATAAGAGTATTCTTTGTTTCAATGATGCATCTGAGATCTGGAAAGACCTGGAAAGTAGATTTCATATCACTAATATTCCACGGTCATACCAACTCTCTCAACAAATCTGGTCGTTGCAACAAGGCTCTCTGGATCTTGCTACGTATTATACTACATTGAAAACTCTTTGGGATGAACTTGATGGTGCTACTTGTGCTAAAACGTGTCATCTCTGTGATTGTTGTAAAGCTGTGGACAAGCAAGCTGATCAAGCTAAGATTATAGAATTTCTGGCTGGTCTAAACAAGTCTTATGCTGTGATCCACAGTCATAATCATGAAGAAGAACATCCCTGATCTTTCTGAGATCTATAATTTGCTTGATCAAGATTACAGTCAACGGTCTTACCTTTGTCCAGAATGCTTCTGCCTTCAGTGTCACTTCTTCAGCTCCTGATCAGTCTTCAATGGTCAATGCTACTAACTACAATCAGAAGCAGAACAAACCTATCTGTACTTATTGTGGTTACACTGGCCATACTACCGATACTTGTTACAAGATTCATGGTTATCCCATTGATTTCAAACACAAGTATAAGTCTAAATCTGAGAAGAATGCTGAGAAAAATGTTTCTTCAGGGAAGCAACAGAGTTACTCTAAACCGGTTACTGCTCAGTTAACTATGAATTCTGCAGAGATTGGAGGTCAAAGCATTCCTAATGTTATCAATAGCCTCACCAAGGATCAAATTGCAGGGATTATTTCCTACTTCAACTCTCAGCTTCAATCATCTTCTCCTTCACAGTCCAACATTTCATCTTCTTCTGGTGCTACCATCACTGTTTTACTTGGTATGACTTGCTCCTCTTCTACTCTGAGATTCATTGGCGTATTAAAAAGCTACAAACAGTGTATTGGTCTCTGACTCTTGGATAGTAGACAGTGGTGCTACTCATCATGTCTGTTGTGATAGAAGCAAATTTGAAAATTTCAATGTTTCTTTAAATGCTTTTGTTACATTGCCTACTGGTATGGGAGTTCGTATAGAAGGTGTTGGCAGAGTAAGACTGAGTAATTCTTTGATACTGAACAATGTTCTGTATATCCATGACTTTCATTTGAACTTAATGAGTATCAGTCAGGTTACTAAAGACTTGGGTTTTCGGATTTTTTGTATGCTACTACTTGCATGATACAAGATCATATCAAGGGATTGATGATTGGACAGGGTGAACAATTCGAGAATCTATACATGCTGGATACAACACTTTTGGCATAGAGTTTTGATTTGGATAGCTCAAATTTCTGTACGAGTTGTTGATTCTCAGTTATGGCACAATAGACTAGGACATCCTTCTTTGGAGAAAACTGATATTCTCAGTGATGTACTTGGTTTTAAACACAAAAATAAAATATCTTATCATTGTGCTATTTCCCCCCTTGTCAAACAGAAACGTTTATCTTATCTTTCTCATAATCATGTCTGTGACAAAGCATTTGATCTTCTTCACATGGACACATGGGGACCTTTCTCACTGTGTACTAAAGAGGGATATCGATATTTTCTCGCCATAGTGGATGATCATACACAAGTTACTTGGGTTTATTTTCTCAAGAGTAAGGATGAATTAAGTCTTAACGGTTTTCCATGAGTTTCTGCAAATGGTTGAACTTCAGTACAAAGCTCAAGTTAAAGGTGTTCGTTCTGATAATGCTCCTGAATTGAATTTCGCAGCTCTTTTCAAGAAGAAAGGTATCTTATCTTACCATTCTTGTCCTGAGACTCCGGAACAAAACTCGGTTGTGGAACGAAAACATCAACATATTCTCAATGTTGCCAGAGCTTTGATGTTTCAATCTCATTTAACTTTGGACTATTGGGGTGATTCTGTTTTGACTGCAGTATTTCTCATCAACAGAACGCCTGCACCTCTTTTTCAAAACCGGTCTCCTAATGAGGTTCTTATGGGAAAGTCTCCTGATTACAGTGGTCTCAAGGTTTTTGGTTGCTTGGCTTATATGTCAACTTCATCCAAGAACATACATAAGTTCCAACCTTGATGAGGAGATCTATATGGCCTTACCTCCAGGCTATACACCAAAAGAGGGGGAAACACTTCCTGTTAATGATGTTTGAAAATTAAAGAAGTCTTTATACGGCTTAAAGCAGGCTTCAAGGCAGTGGTTTCTCAAGTTCGGTACTACCTTAATGGCTCTTGGTTTCAAGAAGTCACACACTGATCATACCCTCTTTATTAAAAATGTTGCTGGTCAATACATTTCTGTATTGGTTTATGTTGACGACATCATCATTGCTAGTAGTGATGACTCTGCAGTGGTTGAACTCAAAACCAGTCTTCAACAATCTTTTAAACTTCGTGACCTTGGACCTTTAAAGTTCTTTCTTGGGTTGGAGATTGTTCGTTCTAGCAAATGGCATTGCTATATGTCAGCGGAAATATATTTTGGAGCTCCTAGAAGAGGCTGGTTTTCTTGCTTGTAAACCATCTAATGTTCCAATGGACCCTAATGTCAAGCTTTGTCAGGACTCTCTGGAACCTGTGCTCGATGATCCTACGGTGTATAGGAGACTAGTGGGTCGTCTCATGTACCTTACTATCACTCACCCTGCATTACTTTTGCAGTAAATAAGCTTTATCAGTTTGCTTCTTCCCCAAAATCTTCTCACCTGAAAGCAGCTATGAGAGTTCTGCATTATCTTAAAGCCTTTATCGGTCTTGGTCTTTTCTACTCTTCCGAGTCTGATTCGATTATTCAAGCCTACACTGATGCAGATTGGGGATCTTGTGCTGATACTCGATGTTCTACTTCTGGTTTTTGTTTATTCCTTAGAACTTCTCTGATCTCTTGGAAAAGCAAGAAACATGAAGTAATCTCTCATTTTTCTGCTGAATCTGAGTACCGTGCCATGGCCTTTGCAGTCAAAGAAGTCATCTAATTGTTAACTTGTTGAATGAGTTGCATGCACCTCAAACAAAACGTGTTGCTTTCTACTATGATTCCACAGCTGCAATTCACATTGCCAACAATCTGGTTTTCCATGAGCGAACTAAACATGTCGAACTTGATTGTCATCAGGTTCGTGATAGGATTGTCAATGGCTTGATCAAAACACTTCATGTTCGCAGTGATGCTCAGCTGGCTAATGTGTTTACAAAGCCTCTACATCCTTGTCCTTTCCGGTCTTTGATTGGCAAGATGACATTACGTTCCATTTTCTTGTCATCTTGAGGGAGAATAATAATGTATATGTTGTCTGGTTTAATGTCAATGTCTTGATTCATTTGAAAGTTGGTTATTGAGTCTGTAAACTGGATTGTGAACCGGAGATAGTTACTTTATAATGTAACTTGTAACAGAAGAAATTAATAACAGAAAATACTTATCATTTTGAGCTTGTCTTCTCCGACGTTGCTATTACCTTATCATAAGGATGATATGTTACGTAGAATCTCCACCACAAAGATGAAAGGTAGTAGATAATTGTTTTTTTTTTCTGAACAAATGGTGGTAGATAATTGTTTTCTCATGTAAATATTGGTTTAAGAAGATGCAAGAGAAGACGTGTCAGGTGAGTTCTTCACGTTACTTTGCGAGGAAGAAACAAGAATCCTATATTTGTTTTATTTGATATTTACAAAAGTACATATATTACGCGGGAGATCTATCTCTCTTTGAGATTTGTATGTGCTTTAATGGCTGGAGATTTGATGAAGCATCGAGAACATCATAGATGAGAATGTGAAGCTTCCTTTTGTTTACGTTTCTTGCGCGGGGGATCTTCACTGGATTCTGGTAATACATGTTTCGGATCTTTACAGCTAGGTCGTCACAGTTCTTCGTGAATCCAGATGTATTTTCTTATGTTACGAAATTATTGAATATGGTTTGGCCGAGGATCGAGTTTTGATTAATGGGTTGTAGTACTATTTTACTTGTATTGGGTTTCCAAGTTTTCATTTTTTTTGTTAGTGTTTTTTTCTAGCGATGTGATTAAGTTGTATCAAAACTTACATTAAAGTTCATATCGATTAATAAGAAAACGATTTAAAAAAAGACTTTAGTCTCTAAAAGAGATTAGGATTGAGAAAAAGCTTAACCTATCAATTAAAAATGTCACAAACAACGTTGACAGAAGACTTGACCAGCTCTGGCATCTTTCCAAAGCATAAATAGTTGCTGAAGCTATCCCTAATGGTAAAGCACCTCAAAGAAGGTGCATTAATCACAAACCCGTGAACACCTTTAGGCCTAGATTTCCCAGAAGAATTATTGATAGACAAACTTCTCAGCGTAGGGACATTGATGGCAAATATCTTCACATTCGTATAGGTGCTTCTTCTCACAGCCAATTCTTCAAGACGTGGGCATATGCTTAGAAGCTTTTTCACAGATTCGTCGCATGAAAACCTCACCGATAAAAGTTTGAGACGTTTGAGGCAGGCCAAATTAGCATTAGGTGGAACATCCACTAGACTTAGTTTCTCGAGTATTAGGGTTTCAAGTTGTGGATAGGAAAACAAGCTTTCAGGCAACTCCAATGAGTTGTAAAGCATCTCTATTTTCAGCTCTTTCAAAGAGCGAGCAGGTGCATTACAAAGCAAACGATCGATCTCTGATTGCAAAGAATATGGGGTCAGCTTTAGCTGCAAGATCTCTACCCTTGATCTTTTACTAATAAATACCGTAAAGTTAGAAACAGTTAAAGCATACATTAATGGACGGTCGTCATCATATCTGAATGTCTTCACCTCTTTCCAAAGAGATTGCCACCGTCTCGACAAGACACTAGTGGTTACAACACCTTTACTCGAAAGCGAAGACAGTATCTTCAATAGCAACTCATCTGGAAGGTCACTAATTAAATCTCTCTTTTGAATTTTATTATTCATTGCTTTGAGTATACCTGGATTATCAAAATCAAAGAAGAACCCTAAACTCGATCAGTGAAAGAGCTAACCTTATCACAGATTCACGACTCTACTCTCTCTATCGATATAATTGTGTTTGTTTTTAAGATATAATTGTGTTTGTTTTTATAGAGTTCTTAGTTCACAATGTAAATCCTATTCGGGATATGTTTTTCAACTACCTGTTAACAATTTTTTTCCTTTTTCCATTATTAAGCGGGAAAACAAAAAGAAAAAAACTAGATAGGTCGGTGGATTAGATTTATTATCCGTGACTCTACTGATTCTCATCTGATAGGATTCTCATCTAGTTGTTTGGACGATGAAGGAGGCAAAAACGTTGGTGTTTTGGGATTGGGACATCAAAACCTGCCCGGTTCCCAAAGATTGCAATGCTCGTCTGGTCGGTTCGTGTATAGAATCGGCTTTGAAGAAGGCAGGCGTTTCTGGAGATCATGTCACCATAACTGCCAACGGAAACCTGAAATAGATCTCACAACTAAACCCTGATGTTCTTCCATTCATCTTTTCCACTGGAATTCTTCTTTGTCAATCCCCTCTCGGTTAATCTGGTTTTGCTCATTATGCCGGATTGGTTTACTCAGTCAGACGCTAGGCCAAATCTTTGGTTTTCTTAGCTAAAGGTCTGAAGGCAAACGCTTTGAGGATTTTACCAAGCATATGAAGAGTAGAGATAGAACATACGATAAATGTAAGTATATTTCTCTCTGTTTCACGATTAAGAGTTTGTTTCTATACAAGAGGTTAGAGTATTTACTATCATTTGGTATATCATTAAAAATAATGTAGCGAGTGTTGTAAAAATACAGTAGAGTCAATTGTGTATCGTCTTTTATCTGTTCATTTGTCATGCTCTAACCTCTTGTTTTCTTTATGTACTTGGTTTGTCAAAAAGGAGTTGCACTTCGCGAGAATGCGTGGATCTAGATTATTGTTTTAGGGAATCGAAAGCTAAAGAGAAGATGAGGAGTATATTGACGAAGATATGATATAGAAATACCTATATCTGTTGCTGTTGATATAGTTGCTGATCAAGAAGATGAGCATGAGTGGGACACTGTCAACGTGTAGGGGATATATTTGACGTGGGCCTATGGTGTCTTGTTCTTATCTATGTATTTCATAATTTCTAAACTAGTTTTGTTAATTTCAAGTCTCGTTTTTAAGACTCTTGAATCTGAAATCGGTGTTCTACCTAGAGCTGGGAATATGAGTCATCATCCGTGGGTCCCGCCTCATTTGATCCGCTGTGGGATGGGTGCGAGTTGAAAATTTTGAAAAAATCAACTGGCGAGTTATGAGTATTTTATGCGAGGCGGGTGTGGATTGGTGGATTTTGAATCGCTGGTGCCCGCCAATCCGCAAATTTTTTTATTTCATTTTTTAAAATTGTGTTTTTTTTGTTAGAAAATAGTATTATTTTTTGGAAAATAAATAAATTTTTTTAAAATACGATATTTTGAAAAAAATAATAATAATTAAAAAAAAATTAAATATATAATTTTATTATAAATATATAATTTTATTACTTTTCATAAAAAATTAAATTAAAATATTATTTTTAAATATATATATATATATATATATATAACTCATGGGTCCCACGGTTACCTGCAAAATTAATCGGGACGTGTGCGGGTGTAAATTTATAAGTTCGCGGGTTGTGCGGATCAGATTTTTGACAAAAAAAATTAATTAAAATCTGCGGGTCGGCGGGTCAGCAGGGCGGGTTTGACCCGCAACCCAGCCCTAATTCTACTGAAAGTAAACATATTTCGATGGTGGGTTTAGGAGAATTCTTCTTCTGAGATTCTCGACGGTTTATGGATTATAGGTAGACCCGGTGAAACGTTGCCTAGATACCCTTTTTAAATATGCATCAAGTCAACCTATATGAAGATAAAGCCTAAATATGGTTCTCCCTAGAAGTATTTCCTCTCACTAAAATATGGTGGATCTTTCTAAAATTTCATCCAAAAGTCCAAAAAATGATCCTTCTTAAAGAGGGGTGCCTCTTTATTTGTATAAGGATGAAGTCTAGGCTTGTGAAGTGACTTCCTTTTAAATGGACTGGGTTCATTGTCTAATATGCCTTTTTGAGGGGCCAAGCCCATCTCCAACAGTGAGCCCCCCCAGATCATTGAAAATAATGAAACTGGTCTCTGCAAATTCTATGAAGTTAACTGGTGAACTTATGCCTAGGATGTGAGTTGTACTCTTGCTAAGATTGTTTATTGTGAAAACATCCTTAGAAGCAGTAACTTGGCCAATAACTCATGCCTGACAAGAGAGTAACTGCACTCTCATTAGGTGAGTTTTGTGTAAATTCATGCCTGTAAAGAGAGTAACTGCATTTTATTTAGGCGAGTTTTTGTATAAAGTCATGTTTCAATCTCACTAGGTGAGTTGAGTATAAACTCATGCCTGAATGGAAAGTAACTGCACTCTCACTAGACGAGTTGAGCTGAGTGTAAACTCATGCCTGAATGGAGAGTAACTGCACTCACACCAGACAAGTTCACTGTAAACTCATGCCTGAAAAGAGAGTAGCTGCATTTACTAGGGGCGCTAGTAACTGATGAAACTTGTCATGTACTCGACTTTTCTACGAGTAAAAGTGACTCGAAAGTGCATTTACTGGTTTCTGTTTTCTAAATAAAAGTAATTGCAAAACACATTTACTTGTTTTTTTGCTGAGTAAAAGTTCTCGGAAGTGCATTCATTATTTAATTTGTTGAGTACAAATGACTAGAAAGTGAATTTACGCTTTTTTTTCAAAACGAGTACAAGTGACGAGCAACAGATGCAGCGACAAGTAAAAGTGACGAGCAACGCATGCAAGTGTTACTCACATTTAGTAGAAGTGACGAGCAACGCATGCAAGTGTCACTCACTCGTTTTTTTTTTAACTCATGCCTAGTCGGTTCATCCCCTGACATTAATCGAAAGACATTCTAAACTCGAGTCAGACAGTGTGGTAGCCAAAATAAAACTGACCGGATCTTAAATTGGCCACGTTTTGAGCCCTTTCAATTTGTTAGTTTAAAGAAATATTTAGTGACACAAAAAAAATCATCAGCTTTATATTTATGCTAATCAAATTTAAGATTAAATGTACTATAATTAGTACAACATGTGAATGATATTTATCTAATAATTAATTAATCTTCATAATTTTTTTCTTATTGTAGTGAACTACAAAATATCTCATTTAAATTTTTAATTTTATCAAAAATTTAATAATTCAAAGTTAACTACTAAAACAATATGTATATACTGCTGTTGATACATATCATTTTCCTTCAGTTTGGGGAGAATTCAACTAAGCCTCCCATCTCACAAGTGACGCAGTAGGAATCAGGTGTCACTCGCAACAACTCAACAGAGGTTATAATGAAACCAGTAGAGATAGAAAGTGATTTAAATGCTAGAATGGCTAATGTGCATAAGGATGATGGTATTGAGTTGGCTAAGGTATCGGCAGACACTGGAAATCATAATAGATAATAGCCATGTTCGTTTACTGAACGCCGCGACAAACTCTAGCGGCTGAAATTTGTTCGTAATTTTCTTTTGCACTAGGCGCTGGTGAAGGAAATAGAGAACGCGCGTCAATATAATCGTCAGAATCCGGTGATGTTTGTGACGCTGAAATAAATAGCGTTCATGTTCTTCTCTTCTCTCTCTTCTTTGCGACTGAAAAACATGGATGCTCTTCCACTCTTTTTTTCTTGCGTCTTTAAATTCTTTTGTTTTCTCTATAAATTTCAGTCGCAGGTGCTGATAGCGGCGTTTGATAAACGAACAGGACTAATGACGTGAAAGTAATGGATTCAGATGACACAAGGATTGACACTGAGGGATACAAAAGGCCAATTTGTGGTGATGCTGATGAGGAATTTTAAAACCTTACTGATGGTGAGGAGGAGGATATGGGTATCTTACAGAGAGGCTCGAGCATGGTGATGGAAGATGTGCCACGCCTTGGGGATGCGGTGGAGAAGGGATTGCTAGTTGGTGATACAGAGAAGAAGAAGGGAGCTCAGAAAGTGCAGTTCAAACAAACGGTTATGGCAGTAGGAACTTCCAAAAAGAGGTTTGTTCAGGCTGTATTATCTCCATGCAAAAGTGTTGCAGTGAAGACTGGAAAGCGTCAGGGAGAACGTAATTGACAGACAGAGGAAAAGAGCTCCTTAATCCCTAAGCCTACCTCTTTGAAAGACTTAAATTAGTTATATGGGTAGGACAGCCTATGAAGAGTTGTGGTGCTACAATTTATTTGGTTTTGGTGTTTTTAATATTTTTTTCTTAATAAGCTCTGTGAGCATAAATTATGTTGTTATCAGTTGGTCATCTATTAGTTCCCGGTTTATGGGTTGGTATTATGTCTTGGGAATGGTGATGAATAAAACTATCTTGGTTGTTTTTTTACAGTCTTTGTATCAACTTTATTTGGGTAAGCGGTTCTCTCTGGCTTGGTTGTTTTTGACGACAGGAATCAAGATTAATCCAGTGCTCGATTACCGACAATGTAATATGGGAGGCAATGCTAACATTAAGGATACGAAGGCTGCATTTGGTCTCATCAAACCATATGCAGTTAGAGGTGGTGTGGGTCTTTGGGTCTATATGGACATTTGGGATTTGTAAAAAATCAGTTAGGCATAAGGTGTTGGAACGATGGAAAGGTTATAGAATGTTTTTTAAGATTAATAATGCCCTGGATCATATTCATTACATATTTTGTACAAGGAATAAATTGAAGAAAATTAAGGCAAAGAAGAAGGACAAGCCATTTGTTTGGAAAGGTCAATTAAATTATCATGGTTATTACATACTGCGGTTAAAAGATAGGTATCCATGGCAGGGAGGGACTTACTTTAATGAATCATATTATTGTCTAAACATTAATATGGTAAATGCGGGAACAAGGGGCATTGTAATAGATGTAACTAGAATTGTATGGCATTGGGGCAAACAAATCTCTAAGTATTATGGTATCATTAAACCTATAAATACTAGCTCTACAGAGTTTTTTCACCCAGATTTTTATGAAGATACTAAGTTGGAATTGTAGAGGATTAGGAAGTAAATGGACGATTAGTTATCTCAGGGAGATATGGCATAAACATTGACCAGATTTTTTCTTTTTATCGAAAACAAAACAAGATCTTGAGTTTGTACAAGGCTTTCAATCACATTTTGGTAATGATAGCTTGGTGACATTGGATCCAAATGGAAGGAGCGGGGGCCTAGCCTTATTCTATAACAATGAGTATCAGGTAAACATCTTATATTTTAGTGACCAGATGATCGATGTTGAGGCTGTGGCTATTGGGAAAAAAGTTTTCCTAACTTTTGTGTATGGAGACCCTGTCCAAAAATTAAGAGAACAAGTATAGGAACGACTAACCAGGTATGGGCTATCACGATCGG